TAAAAGTATTTTAATTGGATACACAGCTTGTAATATTTGGTTTTAATTCGGCTTTTATCGGGGTTTATTTTCTGTATTTTTGTATTTTGTAATTTTTTGTATTTTGTGTTTATTATCTGTTTTTAATATGCTGTGAACCGCCCTGAGTCCTATGGGAGAAGGGCGGTATACAAATTAAAATAATAATAATAATAATAAAGATAAGGTGCCTGAAAGGAAAAACGTATGAGTACTGGCTGGAGGCATTAATTATGTTTAGCTAGGAGAAGAGAAGACTGCGGGAGGACATCATAGTTCAGAGCTATTCCAGAAGGAAAGAGAAAAAACAATAGGTTTAAAATACAATGAAGAATATTGCAGTTTGACATCAGAAAAAAAATTCTTTAATGACCAGTCGGAGTTATGATGGCCTTGGAAATTGTGCTTTACAGTTCATAAAGCACTTTTGGCTATTGTAAAATGTTGCCACACGACCATATTCCAAGCTCTTGACAACTGGCTCATATTTATGACTGGTTGCAGCATCCTGTAGTGTTATGACCACAATTTTTTGCCAGTTTCTGGTAAAAAACACCCATTTGGGAGAATGGATTAGATTTACGACTTTGTGAGTCACTTAACAATCATCATAAAAATAGTGGTAAAAATGGATTCAGTCATATGAGCGCCTCAGCTTATGACTATCACAACTTACAATTGTAATTCTAGTCCCAATTGCAGTGATAAGTCAGGCACTATCTGTATTTGTTCCCACGTTAGACTTCTTGAAGGTTTTTTTGATGGGACAAACAATTGGTTGAGAAGTGTTACTATGCTCTTCTGGCATTCACTGAACACAAACGGGCATTTTCCTGGAATGTTCTTACCTTATGTGCCTTTTCCCAATGTCCAGCTTGGGTGTACATATCAATGGCATCCTTAATGTGGTCTCCTTTGATATACAGTTCCTCTGCTATCTAAAGGGACAAACAGCTTGTTATTTTTCCATTGTATCAATGGGTGTGTGTATGTGTGGAGGGAGAAAGTTGTTACCTCATACTCTTGCAAGGCTGCATAGTGCTGGGCAATTTTGGGGTAATACTTGGTTGCTGTTTTCCTATCCTGCATGTCAAGAATGTATATAGCTTTCTTCCACTGCCGAGCCCCAATGGCTGCTTCAATGGCCTTGATAGCACACCTGGAAAAGATCACATTCCTTAGAGCAAGGCTCCCACAGGACCCATCCTGATCCTGGGTGCCAGTCCAACATACAACTTTCAGAATACTAGTAACTACAAGAAAGATAGCCTCAAAGAGTCTAGTCAGTATACCATCCACATACCTGGCCTCAATGTAGTGGTTGATAGCTGCATCTAGTTGCTTCTGTTGTACAAGGTGGTCTCCCCAGCCCTCCTCCAGCTTTACCACTTCTGCTGGAAAAACTGAACGAGAAAGTTCTACTGCTGCAGAGAAAGGAAGAACAAAGAACATGTAAGGAGAACTAAAGGGACCAGATCTTGGACAAGCTAATCTCTTAAGAAATATGCAGAACCTTCCTAATGCAAAGAAATTTTGGTTTAAGATCCATAAATGCCTGGAAAAGATGACTAAAATACAGATAGAATTTAAGCCAGAACTGTTTTTGTGAGGAATACTAGGACTTAATTATGGAAAAGAGAATGAATATTTAATATTACATGTATTGACAGCTGCGAGAATAGTATTTGCCCAATTTTGGAAAAATGAAAACCTACCACCTGACCAGATTATAATCATGAAAATCCTAGAATGTGCAGAAATGGATAGATTAACTTTAGAGATTAAAGAGAAAGAAGATTCAGTTTATTTCAAAACATGGGAAAAATTGTTATCAATGGTTAGCAACACGATAGAGCGAGAAAGGATGGTGAAATTTAACAGGATGAATGATATTTATTGACTAAACGTTACTTTTATGATTATTGTTATTATCAGTGACTATAACTGTTTAGTATTATATTAATTACTGTCATTTAATATTTGTACCCGGATGATAGTCTGCTTGCTAAAGCGTTGAATTTTTGTTGGGAGTAACCCACTACTGTATTTATCCCTACCCCATTCCCAAGCCCATCCAATATCCATAGCGAGCTCTCATCAGCCAAACATACCCTTCTGAGATTCGAACCTGGGCAGCTTGCATGTTAAGCATATATATATAAAAAGAAATATGCAGAACCTAAAACTGCCAATCCAAGGATAGGGGGGGATACTGTAAACCCATTTCTAAATATCTCTTCCCTTGGTCCTTTTTGCTTTTTGATGATTTTTTTTACCATAAACAAGATTTACTATATAAGTAGTCCTCACTTAGTGATTGCCTTGTTAATGGTCATTCAAAGTTAGTTGCAACGGTGCTCAAACAACTTAGTGACCTCCCATTTATGACCTTCACATTGTCTCTCTGCTCTTATTTTCACTTGCTTGTTTATCTCATACCAAAATATCCTCAGGGAGAAAGAAGCCCAGTTTGGCTGAAGGACGTAGCAAGACGCAAAGGAAAACTGAAGTAAAATCATAAGCACACTCGCAATCACCTGATTTTCACTTAGCGACTGCTTCAATAACTGAGTTGCTGGTTCCAATGGCGGTTGCTAAACGAGGATTACCTGTAAATGATTTTGTTCTACCTTCTAATATTAAAATATTTCAATAAACACTCAATACACTCAATCCAGTTTTGGTCACAACGATGTAAAAAAGATGTTGAGACTCTAGAAAGAGTACAGAGAAGAGCAACAAAGATGATTAGGGGACTGGAGGCTAAAACATATAAGGAACAGTTGCTGGAATTGGGTATGTCTAGTTTAACGAAGAGAAGGACGAGGGGGGACATGATAGCAGTGTTCCAATATCTCAGGGGTTGCCACAAAGAAGAGGGAGTCAGGCTATTCTCCAAGGCGCCTGAAGGCAGGACAAGAAGCAACGGGTGGAAACTAATCATAAAGAGAGAAGCAACCTAGAACTAAGGAGAAACTTCCTGACAGTTAGAACAATTAACCAGTGGAACAACCTGCCTCCAGAAGCGGTGAATGCGCCAACACTGGAAGTTTTTAAGAAGAGACTGGACAGCCATTTGTCTGAAGGGACCTCCAAGGTCCCTTCCAACTTTATTATTATTATTATTATTATTATTATTATTATTATTATTATTATTATTATTATTATTATTATTATTATTATTATTATTATTATTATACAAATGTAGGAAATATAAAACTTGAGAACTTGTAGGCAAGCTGCAGCCTCAGAAGAGCCTCCCTCCCTCCTTCTCGTACCTTTCAGAAATGAGTTGCCCTTGCGATAGCACTCCAGTGCTCTTTGTGGGTTCCGAATTTTTTCAAAGAGTTCTCCAGCCTGAAAAAGAGGAGAACTGCATCGGTTGAAAGCTTACAAACTGCCCCAACAGTACCCAATTTTCAAAGGCAGGTCAACCACTTTTTGTGCCGGGAAGTATTTTGTAAGCAAAGTAAGGTCTATCAAGCTCCCTCCTGCTGTCAGGTGACCCCACTGACTCCCTACATCACGGTATTTTTCACATGGAACGATGACACCTCATGGCTCCAAGGGGCATCACCACAAAAGTCCTTACATTGAAAATCACCGCAGCAGAATCCGAGATTTTGAAGCATCTTGAAAATTGAACAACTTCTTGGCCTCACAGTCCATTTACAATTTTAAAAAAGGATGCTTGTGGGAAAAGAATAACCAAATGTGGAGAGTAACTTTGCAAGATTTAATGAATTAAAATATAGAGTATAGTAGACTGACCCGTAGAAGAACTTACCTTTCCTTTCTCTTAGTGAAGGTTATTTTTTTCATCTTGAGGCAAAATGTAAACCCTCAAAAAAGACACTAATATGTGTATTCCTTAAAACACATTGAAATTAATGAGCTGAACACAAAAGCCACCGATAGCCTAGGCCAGGGTTCTCCAACCCCTGGGCTGCGGCCCAGTACCAGGCCGTAGCCTATTCGGAACTGGGCCACATAAGTGGTGGGCCAGCGCATGCGTGCAAATCTCAGTTTGTATGAGCAGCAGGTTGGCGTGCACTTGCATGCACATGTGTGTATAGTTCAACTTGTGCAAGCTGACCTGCGTGCACCTGTGCATCGGTCCACTACTTATGTTGAGCTGCACGTGTTCACATGTGTGTCGGCCCATCGCTCACACAGCCCAGTTCTCCTCCCCCCCCCAGTTGGGCCACCAAGCCGCAAAGGTTGGAGACCGCTGGTCTAGGCCATCCTCTTATTGCATCATCACCCTCATTCATTCTGTCACATAGATCCTTTGTCTTCCAATCTCTAAAAGCAATAAACTTGTTTATTGTGAGCCCTATCCCCTTCCCAACTCTAGCTATGCCTACCACCGGTTCATAATCTCCATCTTACTGCTCACTGCTACGTACGTTATCATCTCTGGCCTAGATAACATTGGGAAGATCTACCAAGATGCTATCAACTACAACCCTGAAGAAAATGAAAGGAAGATAACAAGCATACCTACCATTACCACTGGGTGATGCACGTCTCCTTCAAAAGAGGAATGTAACATGATTAAAGAAGCTGTATAACTACTGAGCATTCGGAAGTGTAATGGATGCCTCACCTGCTCAAAAAGCTCTCCTCGAATCAGGGCTGTAGCGATACGATTGATGAGGTCAATATTTGCCAGTAGCTCCTCTCGGTCCATGGTCAGCTGTGCTGCTTTAGCTGGTAGCCCAGCCTTCAGGTAGAGGCCAATGGCTGCTTGCAAGTCCCCTTGGCTCTCCTGCACCTCAGCAGCTCGCTCCTCCTGCTGTGTCTGCAGCAGCCACTCATAATAGCTTTGACGCAATTTTTCTAATGCAGGATGGTTCTAAAGAGAGAGAGGGAGGACAACAGAGGAGGAGATATCAGACCATCTCAGAAACCGATGATCTTAAGTCTTCAGTGCCTCTCTTACTTTTGCCTCTGCCACTGAGATGCATTCATCCCACATGTGAAGCTCTTGATACATCTCCATGGCCTCCTCCACAGCATTCTAAAACAGGGAAAATAACGTGGGTTAGGGTACAGAGAGGTGTAGGGGACAAAAGTGTTCAAAATAAGCAATCCCTGCTCCCAGACTTAC